GAAACAATGACGATAAATCAGTCAAGATTTTATATACATAATTTCAAATGCCCCGGGCCGATGAATCAGTCAAGATTTTATACATAATTTCAAATACCTGGAAAAGTTATAAAATATGCTTTGAGATTGTGTTTTTAATGACTATTTTTACAAGGTTCTGCAGGCCCTGCTGTTTTATGCAGACATTCCAACTACTCGAGGTGAAATTTATGGAGACTGTTCAGTGAATTGAAATCTAGTTCTAAGTTCTTCTGGGAAAAATAATAAAAATTAAGTCTTCTGAAATGGCGTTTCCTGCATTTTGGGAAGATGTTGTTATACGTGAACCTGTAAATTGCCATAAATTAACTTCATAAAAAGGTCAAGACAGACTATTATGTTGCTAAAAACAGTATATCTACGATTTTTTTACGATATTTCCTGAATATTTTGAAAAATCGGGAGAATTTGATAAAAATCGGGAGACCAGGAGATTGCATGAATTTTCGGTTGACTTCCTGTAAAATCGAGAGATTTGGAGTGTCTGTTTATGTGACCTTCCCATAATGCAGCAGGAACTTGTTAACAGAACAAATGTTAACAGAACTTGATATTAAAATCCAAATATTAATTAATCAGCTAAAAGTGACTTTATGCATCAACACTTGCCATATAGTCATTTATGATAACATTTTTAAATATGGCAGTAATTTATGTTAAATCGTTCTGATGACTGATATTTTATTAATAAATTAAAATCCAAAAAGGAATATTTAGAGTTAAAACTACAATTTTAACAGTAATATCGGCAACAAAAATATACCCAATGAGTTGGATTTATCAAGTTCTGTTAACATTTGTTCTGTTAACAAGTTCCTGCTACATCATGAGAAGGTCACAGCAGGGCCTGCAGAACCTTGTAAAAATAGTCATTAAAAACACATGTAATTTAATACTATCTCAAAGCATATTTTATAACTTTTCCAGGTATTTGAAATTATGTATAAAATCTTGACTGATTCATCGGGCCGGGACATTTGAAATTATGTATATAAAATCTTGACTGATTTATCGTCATTGGTTCTTTTTTTGTCATACCCCCCCCCCCGGTATTCGCGTATTTGAAAAAAAAATATAAATTTACTAATGAACACGTGTTGCATGCATCAGAATGCGAAAGCGGCGCCAAAATTATGGTCTATATAATTACAATTAAACTTTAATATTCCTTTAACGAAAATAGATAATACACTCATGGATTTTGTTCCTTTTTCATTGACTCACCTAAAATCATCAGTTGCACTTTGTCTTTGTTGATCAACGACATCGATATTCGGAGACCGAGTAGCTGTAGCTCTTGCGTTGTTTATCGGGCTGGAGCTCTGTGGCTCTGATTCCAATTCCTGTAACGCTTTCTTTAACGCATCTTTCGCACGTTGTAACCTGTCGTCTTCTCTTGACATTTTTAAACAATTTAAAAAGGACAATAAACAAATGAAGCATGAAATTCTTCTTGACAAAATATATACGCACATTATGAAAATCAGAAAATGCAAAATGTGAAATAAACGAGTTTGATGTTACCACTTACCACACGAAAAATTTTCATTTTCCACTTTTCTTCCCGTTTTTCAAAATTTCCATATGGAAAAGAGACAATTTTCTTTTACGATCCATTGCCTATCCAGTACGATTCATTGCCTATCCAGTACGATCCATTGCCTATCCAGTACGACCCATTGCCTATCCAGTACGACCCATTGCCTATCCAGTACGATCCATTGTCTATCCAGTACGACCCATTGCCTATCCAGTACGTGACCCATTGCCTATCCAGTACGACCCAATGCCTATCCAGTACGATCCATTGCCTATCCAGTACCAACCTTATGTCTATCCAGTTCGACCCATTGCCTACATTTTTTGCGCACACAGTGTTCTGCTCAGCACACCTTGGTGTGTTTTGTAGCACACCTTGGTGTGTTTTGTAGCACACCTTGGTGTGTTCAGTGACAAGAAAACACACCTTGTGTGCTATTTTAGCACACCTTGTGTGCTAAATAACACACCAAGGTGTGTTGTTTAGCACACCTATTTTATATATATATATATATATATATATATATATATATATATATATATATATATATATATATATATATATATATATAATTGTTTGTCATTGCTTTTCTTTGTAATCGTCTTGTCATTTTAATTTTATGCTATTTCCTAACCTATACGTCGTTTCATCTTGTTTATCTCTTCGTCTCGTCTTTTTTCGCCGTCTTACTTAAATATATTAATTAGCTAAATTCAAATGTTTCCTGACTGATTTCCAGTGGCAAAACGTGCGGCTAAGGTCCACCTCTTCTGCACCAAGCCCGCAGGAAAAAAAAAAACTCAACAGCTCTAAAGTATCTTCGGTGCAAAATGTAGCGCCATATGAGGATGACTTTTTTATATCTCCAGCTTAAGCATTCATAAACTGGTAGAAATTACATGCTGGAATTGCAGTTAATTGATGATACAAACTTTCTCTTTTTATGTTATTGTTTTAAGACCTTTTAAAAATTGATGAAATACAGCTCAGCCTTGCAGATTGGGGGTCTCCAGTGTTTCCTAGGCGACGCCCAGTGATCTTATACTTAATTCGGTATCTCGTGCGCTTGTGTGAATCACATATGCATGGAGGTGACAAAGCATCTGAACTGTTCAACGGATTATTTTACTTTAAAATTGCTTATGGGCTGCCTACAGCTTGGATTGCATTAATCCGTAACAACGCCTATATAGATAAAATGAGATTACCCAAATCTAATCTCATCCCACTTCATCGTCGTTTGACATGTTTCAAAACTATTTATTTTCACATTGCCAGTTTAGGTTAAAAGCTATAGAACTGAAAAGGATTAACACCCCATACTTAAATTCCCATTTTGAGCGAAGGAAATATACTCAAGGCCTATAATGTGGAATGAAAACCAGTTACGCTAAAATTTATCAACTTTTGCATTATTTCTCTAGTTTTACCTTTCCTATACAGTATTTCAATCGTGCATGGGTGTGAATATTTATACATGCAGGTATCGATTATATCGAAATAGAACAAATATAGACTTTATACGGTCTTAAACTATAGCTTCCCTTTTATCAAGTTTGATTTTGATCCAAATTACTTTGGTGTGCTAATAAATATGAAAACTAGTTTATATTGAAATTTCAGGGTATTTATCTTCTGCCTTTGCACAATTCACAATTATTATACTGAGGCATGCATATATTTTAAGGTAATTAAGATTTTTTAGGAAAAGTAAATAATCAATCCCAATGCGTCATTGGCAAATAATAATATTCACAAATATGGATAAAAACGTAATTTTAATTTTAATTTTAATTTGCTGGCTATATTATATTTACTTAAATTAATATAATTACACAACAAATATATTTCATTCAGTATACATAAATTGGAATTCGGACGGAGGAAAACAGTTATTCTCTATGATTTGTGGTTAAAACAACGAGAAAACTTTGAAAAATAACTGGAATATGTCTATCATTCATTTTTTGCTTGCAACAACGGTTTGTATTTTCCTGCAGCAGTGTAATGGTAAGTATTGATTTTTGACAAAAAATAACGTTTTCTAGAATATTGATCTTAAATTAATCAGCATTTTCAATTTCGAAAGTGCTACATGCCAATGTATATATATAGTGTATATTGTTGTAGAATTGTAGAGCTTAAATGAATTGGAATTCTTTAGCTCTCCGCGTACTTTTGGTTATGGACGGTTTTACTTTACAGCAAACATGTGACTGTAATATCCAAGTGGACTTTTTATGTCATTGTTAATCTCTTTTTCTATCATGATGTTTTCGCTGCTCAATTAATAGTAACTAAGCTTATATATGCAAGCGATGTTTTTGTCAACACGGATGTGACGCCAAATTAAACTAATTTTAGCGCCATTTTGCGTCATAGTGCTCGTGGAAGGAAGAGAAAACTTTAAAAATCTAATGTTTTGTCATATATGTTGAAGAATACCACAACACCACTCACATTTTGGGATATTCAGGAGTAGATCAGTAGGTCCCGTCCTTTCTTCGATAGGACTGTTTTAAAAGGGATATAGCTGTAGGTATAAAGGATTGCCGGTGTCTTTTAGAACACGATACAACATATGGTAGATTACTTGTTGTTCTTAGATCGTGTTCATGGGTAAAAGGTTGGGGGATAAGTTTATTACATGGGTTGATCGGATCACCTAGAATTCTTTGGTATTCCTTAACAGTTAGGTGTGCCCTTCTTTGTTCTAGCGTTTCAAAGTTGCACCGAGATGTGCCGAGGATTTTGATGCATCTGTTTTGAATGCTCTCTATTTCATCAATGAGATATTGTGGTAAACCACCCCATATCGGAGCTGCATACTCTAAAACAGGTCTAATCTTTGATTCATAACATGTAATATCTAATACGGACCTCAGGAGAAAGAGTCGCTCTACGACATTCTCTCAGACTAAATATTCGTTTATTTGCTTTCCTTACAATGTTCCTGACATGACAGTTCCATTTCAAATTGCAGCCGGCCTCAGACATTATATGCGGGTCAGTTTTATGGACCCCTACGACGTCTAATTGTAAAACTGGAAATGCGCTGTGTTTTACAAAATAGTATGCTTGATTACATATTATCTGGTGGCACATAGGATTGATATTTTCTGTTGAGCAATTTTGTATCAAGATAATTTAAGGGCCTTCGTCGTCTTGGGGACGGACAAAATACCCCATGCCACGCCCTACCCACTTCCTTAGTCCAGACATACCATGAACGGTTTCAATTTCCGTTCACGGTTTAATTTTAACCAAAGGAATTTTTATATCACTAAGCTACCAGCCAACGATCGAAGGAGTATATATCCAGATCTTGCCATCATCATCACTATTACAATGTCATATAAGGTCATGCAACGTCGATGGGATAAAGGACAGCTCGATTAGGGCCTAGGATTGAAACAGTATTATCATAAATTGAAATAGCCCCGACCAGAACGGAATGAGTGCACTCTCCATCATCCTAAGTTTAGGAATAATCCAATAGCTAAACTGAAATTGACATGAACTCTCATATACAGGAACAGATCCGATATGCAGATTTTCCTAGATTAAGATATATTGGAATACTAGAAATACATGCATGCACCAACCCCGACCCTCGCTTATATTTTCGAAACATTAATTTAACATGAAGAATTAGTACTTGGCCAACATTGAACGCAGGCATGGCAGCACAATATTTTAAAATTTTAAATATTTTTGTACAAAATGGCAAAAATAGTTGAAAGATTATACCGAAATATAAACTGTAAGTATGTTATTTTGGTGGAATAACCATGTTCGCAACATTACAAAAAAGTGAATAAATTATTATTCCTTCTTCGGGAATGTAAGAAATCCTCCCTACCACCCGGAATTGGGCTACTGACATACACGACAAAGATTAGGCCAATAAAATCCATAAGAGAGAATCCTTGGACATGCAACAAGCTGAAAAGATTAGTGGAAGTCCCAAACAACCCATGTAACTGCCATCTATAGCAACCAGAAATACACAAACGTACGAACTGAGGAGGACTAGAGGCAGTTTTCCAAGACAGTCCTCAAAAACACACAGACATCGTACGTCTTTATTCCAAGGGCGTGTACATTAACAAGTCATGCATAAATTATATGATTATTACTGTATATTCAATTGTATTTAAAAAGTTTTTCAACTTTAACTGAATTTTTTACACATTTCATTAGGCTTTACATATATGCATTAATATATTTTTACATTGTAAATCCATTGTATTTCTATGCCAAAGATGCATGGATATTGTTTAAAACTATTATATATTTTCCATTGAATGAGCTTTCACTTAATCTAAAATTTGATCTTAGTTTAAACGCTTCATGAAATGTTTTGAAATGTTCATTCAAGATTTTAAATATTACTAGAAATACATGCATGCAGCAACACCTCGCCTATATTTTCCAAACATTGATTTAATTTAACCTGAAATATCACTAATTGATCGACACTGAACGCAGGCTCGCGTTTACGTCGTGTTGCCGTGGCAACTGGCAACTGCCAACACGATAATTATAATTTTTATTCAGTACTTGTACAACACGGCTAAATTAGTTGAAAGATTATTGCTTTTAACTATATAACAATGAATTTGCGAAATATGCGGTATGGTGTTCTGCATGGATTTTGAGAGCTTTGATTTATGTAAAATTAAACCTGAATCGCTTCGTAAAATGCTTTGAAATGTTCATTTTAATAACTAAACTGCTTTGCCGACAGGGGCGTAGGAACTGGGGTGGCAGGGGGGCCATGGCCCCCCAAGTTTTGGCAAGTGCCCTTTTTCCTGGAGCAAAGTGCCCTTTTTGTGCCTGAAAAATTTTCATTAAATTTGCATTTTTTGTCCAAACCAAACTTTTGAAAACCTCAATCTATGATTTTTCCCGATAAATGTTTTAGTTTCCGAGAAAAATATCATATATTGGTTTGTCCGGAAAATTTTTTTTATATTTAAGAAGAAATATGTTATGTCCGGAAAATTTGTTTGACCCCTAAAATGGTACACTGACCGAAATTTTTTTGGCGACGGGGGGGGGGGAAAGGTCGCCAAAAAAAATTTTGAGATGCCCTTTTTTTTTAAAGTGCCTGCCCCCCCGCCCCCAACTTTTCTAAGCTTCTTACGCCCCTGTTTGCCGATAAACTGTTTTACTTCAAATTGTTAGTAATTTCAGTTAGGTCTTCAAATTAATTTGCTCTCCTTTACATTTTACCTTTTTTCGTAAATTAAACAGGGTAATTTAGGAAACTTACAGCTTTATTCAAAAGGGAAACAGCACAGCATGTTTTGCGCAATAAATTATTAAAGCAACAAAATTCATATTAAAACACTATATAAACATTCAAAGCAAACTTGCCCTATATTTCACGATTTTCCATAGTAAATCAATTCTTCTCATTTCTTCAAACAAAAATTGCTTCAAAGTTCATTGTGCGAAACGTAATTTTCCAAATATATGCTTTTGAAAATTGAAATCTAAATCCTGCTCTAATATCCTTATTGTGCTTAACCTACTTCTGCAAAACAGCCATATTTTGAGATCAGTGAGGAATTAGTCCACCCATGGGTTATAGATTCATGTCTCGCTATTTATAATGCTAACCCTAATCCCCACTCTAACCGTAACCCTAACCGCTAACCCTATTAGCGAGACATGAATCTATATCCCACCCATGAACGATAGTCACGCGCCCACGATAATTGATGAACTTTCGACTTCGCTAATGTTCCTTTCCCCGGGTTTTAATAGCCGGTGGAGTATCCTCGCCGTGGGCTAACGCCCGGAACAGCGCTCCGTGCCGTTGGCTCGGGGAAAAGTGCTTTTACCTAGAAACTATTTTTAGATTATTAATAAATCAAAATAATTTCAAATTAATGAATAACTCCAGTAACTATTTAAGTTTTTTCTTAAAATATACAAGTAACTTTATAGCTACATTTAAAAGGAAAGCAATGCATGTTTTACGAAAAAAATTGAAGTACATAACAAAATTCATAATTTAACATAAACATTCAAAGGAAACTTACGCTATATTTCATGACCATTTCTCATAGTATATCAATTCTTCTTATATTTCTTGAAGACAAAATTGCCTGAAAGCTCATTGTATGAAACGATTTTTCAAATATATGTTTTTGAAAATTGAAATATTGCTTATCCCACTCCTGGCAAACATCTACATTTTCTAGATCAGTGAGGTACTCCCATACACACATGACACAACTTTAGATTTCGCTAATGCTTTCCTTTCTTCTGGTGTAAATAGCCGAGCGGAATTTGTATCCTCCACCCCCCCCCCCCCAGGCTTACGCCCGGAATGGCGCTGTGCCCTTTAACTGGAAGATTAACCATGTAACCAACCTGAATTTGACAAAAAAACCGGGAAAATTCTCTCTAGATTGCGTAACCGCTTACACAAATAGCTGGGCTCAATTTGTTTAGTAGTTACTATATAATTAATGTAATAAATGGTAATTGGATCAATTGAAAATAATATTCTCTTCCTTTCTTTGTCATTTCATTGTGGTATAATATATTTAAATATATGTGAATAAAACTAGTGTTGACCAAGTTCCTTTCCTAAATGTAGAAATAACAACTGGAATATGTGTCCTAATGAATTTTCCTGAGTGGTTTAGAGCGCAGTGGAAATATTAATGGCGACAATTATCTTCACAATATTGAGTATGGCTACTGTTGTAAGCCACAAAACAGTCCAGTTGGATACAAACATTGTTTCAAGGCAAATGTTTGGGATCATTTCAACCATGATGAT